GGATCTGCTTAATTTATCTCTAATGAATGGTTACATACCACAGAGCTTTAAGATTACTGTAATTAAACTTTTACTTAAGAAACATAACCTTGACTCAGGAATCCCAGCCAACTATAGACCTATATCTAATCTAACTTTCATCTCAAAAATTCTAGAGAAAATAGTTGCAGGTCAGTTGCATGATCATCTGCAAAGAAATAATCTGTTTGAAGAGTTTCAGTCGGGTTTAGAGCTCATCATAGCACTGAATCTGCACTGGTGAAATTTACTAATGATATTATCATGGCCTCTGACAGTGGGCAGGTGTCTGCACTGGTCCTGTGCTGCATTTGATACAGGTGATCACAATATTCTATTAGAGAGACTTGAATCTGATATTGGAATTACAGGAACAACTCTAAATTGGTTTAAATCATATTTATCTGATAGATTTCAATTTGTAAATGTAAATAATGAACCTTCATGATGTTGCTGCTGATCTGTTTCATGTTGCTGCTGATCTGTTTCAATGTTGATGTGTTCATGCGTGCACAGACTCATGTTCATGTTTGTGCTGATGTTCAATGTTTTATGTTATGAGTGCTTAGTGTATATTTAGTTGATGTTTTTCTTAGTTCATATCTTAGATGTTATTACTGTTTTTCATATACATTTTATTGTTGGATGTAACTGGGACCCTGTGTACATAATTTCGCTCCACCACATGTACCACATGAGGTGCGAATGACAATAAAGAAACTCTGACTCTGACTCTGACTTCATCATACACCAAAGTTAGTTATGGAGTTCCTCAAGGTTCAGTGCTTGGAACAGTACTCTTTACCTTATATAGGCTTCCATTAGGTAAAGTTATTAAACAGCATGAGATAAATTTTCATTGTTATGCTGATGATACACAGTTATACTTGTCCATGATATCCAATGAATCCAATCAGTTACTTAGATTACAAGCATGTCTTAAACACATAAAAACCTCCATGACCCTACATTTTCTGCTTTTGAACACAGGCAAGACTGGGGTTTTAGTTTTTGGACCTGAGCATCTTAGGAACATTTTTTTCAGTTTTTCACCCTCCTTAGATGGCATTAATCTGGCCTCCAGTTCTAATGTTAAAAATCTTGGTGTTATTTTTGATCAGGACATGTCTTTTATCCCAAACGTTACTAGAACTGCCTTCTTCCACCTTCGTAATATCACTAAAATTAG